CTCCAGGATTAGGTTTCTCTTTGCTTATAATTGAAGAGATTGTTATTATGACATATTCATAAGTGGATATATTTGACCATTTGCAGATTCTTCCTCCCTCCGGTCCTTCTCCATTCTTTCTTTTCTTAATCAAAAATCCGTATCTCAGAGGGATGCAAAAACACTGGGAAGAAGCATCTAATTCAACTGTGTTTTATTTCATTATGTTTCCTCTGAAGCACAAATCTTTCATAGCCATGCTGTCTTTCACAGCAGCAAGTTATGGTGACTTGGACATAGCCTTCTCCCTCCCCTCCTGGGAGCCCCAAAACGTCTCAGTTACTCTGCACCCCACCTACCCATGACGGTTCTTGTAGAGTTCCCTTTCTCCACACAGTTGTGGAAATTCCCACACAAGATGCTTTTAATTTACCCACGCAGAGACCGGGCTAGAGTTCACTACGGGGGCTTCCAAGACTGGTTGCCAGAGCTGCCAGGCCTGGAGCTGTGCTGCTGCTACCGCAGTCTAGCTGCAGATCCCAGCCACGGCCCGGGTGCTGCTGCGGCATCGGTGCCAGCATGCCACAGAGGTGCGGTTCTCAGGCACCTCAGCCGCTGGCACTTTTGCAAAATGAGAAAAAGAGTGCTTTTTTGCAATAAGCGTTCTAGAACAGGCTTGGTTAGCCTGCAAGCACAGTAAGTTAGACATACCGTGCTTTCTTCCGAGTCGAACTGCATTGCTTCTGCTGCAGCTAGGACTTCCACCTGGAACTTAGTTGGAGCTCTGATCTTGCAGCTGCCTTGAGCCTGGTAAGCTGGGACTTCGCTGCCACCAATGCCTTGTCATTTGAGATCCCTGCTAATATTTTGGCCAATGTTTTTGAGGATTAAAAAAACCTAGAATGTTTCTTTCTTTAGTTTTGGAAATGGTGGGAAGGTCTGTACCCAGAATTTCCAAGTTGTGTGATAGCTGTTAATTCCCAGGCACAGGGCTCAGACAAGCTGCTGGGATGCTTTGGGTTCTGCTCTCAGCTACTAACATTCACTGCCTTCCAACCCTCAGGTCCTTTGTCTGAATTACTGCACCAGATACCTTGCTCCCTTTGGTAAATTTTCTGTTGTCTCTCATATATCTCATTTTATTTGAGGTACCCCCAACTAATCAGACATGGTTGTATAGGTATGAAACCTAGTTGAGGTCAGGATTCAGTTATTTTCCCAGGAGGACCTGCGGTCTCAAGGAATGCAGTTTATGCTAAGAGATCCTGTGTTTGTGGGAGGGATGAAGGCTGGCGGGGCTCCTCATTGTCCCTAAGTTGGATGTATTTGAGGCTCAGTTCTAGCCCAGATAGGCTGTGCATTTCAGCCAGTTATAGCTCAGGTCCCAAATATTTTATTTGCCTGTAGCTCTCCCACCCTCAGTACACAGTCCTCTCTTCTCCCTTTCTCCTCCCAGGCCTATCTAACCATCACTTTGACATCTCCTCCTCCCCAACAGGCCTGCTCAGAACAGCCACCAGACTGCTCCATGTTCTTTGCGTTTCTCAGTGATTGGTCCATCTCTTTCCCATGGCCTTCTTTCATTTTCCTCAGAAAGAGAGTGTAAATTATGTATAAATACATTTCATACTTCACAATACATATTACCTATTTCTCACAACGTTTCCCACCTCAGTTGTGCAGTTGAAATGATCATTTATTTCAAACATTCAGGAATCTATAGAAACTAATATAACTGGTGCCTACATTGAACAAATGTGTAAATATTTGGCCAACTTTGCTTCAGATATTTTAAAATAAATCCAACGTTACAAGGTCTAGTCGAAGTCCTCTACTTCTCCCCAGCTCATAATTCCTAAAGTCCCCCAGAAGTAATGATTCCTGAGATACATTTCATTCCTTCCCACCAATGTTTTATGCATTTTGTTTACATGTGTGTATCCATATCTATGCATAATATTACTTTATGGATTTAAAAAGAAAATGAGTGATATTAAGTATACAGCATATTCCAAGTTAATTTCTTCATTGAAACTTGTTTTTCATATTTTTTTTATGTTGATCCATTAGATGTAATTTATTTTAGCTGTTATAAAGATCACATTTGAGAATACACTACAATTGATATATCTATTTTCAATTGACATGTCAAATAGCTACTTTGGGCCCAGCTGGCATAGCTCAGTGGTTGAGCATTAACCTATGAACCAGGAAGTCACAGTTCAATTTCCGGTCAGGGCATATGCCCGGGTTGTGGGTTTGATCCCAAGTGTGGGATGTGCAGGAGGCATCTGATCAATGATTTCTTCTCATCATTGATATTTCTATGTCTCTCTTCCTCTCCTTTCTTCTCTGAAATCAATAAAATATATATATATTTAAAAATAGCTACTTTGAAAAAGAAACTTCCTTTTTCCCACTCTTCTAACTTTTGTCTTATTACTTCTGAAAAATGTAATTATTACTTCCTGATTCTGATTATTGGTTCAATTCTAGAAGCCTTCTTACCTTATTGGGCTTACTTCAATGTGGAAGGAAGTAAATTGATACATAAACTAAAAGACAAGCAGATTAAGGATGGGAAAGGGGTACAAAATTGTAACTCCGAAATGATGACTTGAAGGTGCTCGAAGGGCTTACATAAGATTCATAAAGATGCTGTGGCTGATTCAGCAAGAGCACAGGGCTCTGGAGTATGACAGCACAAGCTGAATTCTAGTGCCAATCTTTTCTAGCCTATGGATTTAGCAATTTTCTCTAACTCTCTAAAAACTTTCTTAATCTCAAGTCATGGAGTGTTTATAGAATTGTTTTTTTTTTAAAAAATATATTTTTACTGATTTCAGAGAGGAAGGGAGAGAAAGGGGAGGTAGAAACATCAATGATGAGAGGGAATCATTGATCGGCTGCCGCCTGCACGCCCCACACTGGGGATTGAGCCCAAAACCCAGGCATGTGCCATTGACTGGAATCAAATCTGGGACCTTTCAGTCTGCAGGCTGACACTCTATGTGCATTGAGTGCACATAGAGCCAAATCCATTTGTACTTTTTGTTTTGCATTGAGCCAAACCAGCTGGGGCTATAGAATTGTTTTGAGAATTAAATGAAGTAATTCATATAAGGCTTGTAGTACAGTGCCTGGCACAAGCTAAGTTTGCTGCTCATATTGGTTATGAGTAATAGTTATTACTTACTTCAATGCAGATATCTCTAATTTGGTAGTGTGATCCAAGTGAGGACCTACCTCTGCTTTTTGGCTGGAGTGCTCCCTCTCTTTATTATGTGGCTTAAGGAGGGATAGAGAGCGAATTACTGTAAGCTCTTATAAACTCAAGCTCATATAGAAGATCCGCTCCCCTCTTCTGTTTCAAAGGCAAGATAGATTTTTGGATGTCTTGAGAATTCAGTATTAATTCAAGGGAATTATTCAATATCCTAACATCTTCTAAGGACATTATCAATATTAGGATATAAAGATTATGTTGAAATATATTCTATAAAAATAACTTCAATAATTCCACTACATTTACTGTTGTTTAAGATGGTATTTTCAGATGTATGTTTTAACTTATCCAAGGTGTGCATGAACCTATTCAACTATTTGTTTAAACCCATCTCTGAATGAAAATCTTTATTAGAAATGAAACATGTTTATATGCAGATAAAGGTAGGAATATACTATCAGGTTCAGGGGAAACCTTATGGCTTGAGAGATTTCAGTAACTCCATTTTCATTCTCATAATACCTGTCTTGTACAACTGCTCCTTGAAGGCATTATTTAGCCAAATACATGTATGCTATTGAAAGAGATAAGCTTTGTCCTTTGCTGCGAAAAATGCTCAGGCTACAAGTAGAATGGGAACCTTTTCAGAGTGGCTTTGTCTTTCCAATTCTCAAATAATTCGTAGGTCTTACTCACAAATTGGTTATTTCAAATGGCTCTATCAAGACAAAAACAGTGGCTGTGATGCTTACAGCCAGAGAGACAGAAGGAAGTGGTGCCAAACTGGGGTGCTGAACACAAGGCAAATTCACACAGACGGCTGTTCATTGTGGAAATATTTTGAACAGTGATGCACTAATCCTGAGGATGAACGGAGGGGGTGTGTTGGTTAAGCCCCAAACTCTCAGGTAGCCAGCAGTGGGTCATGGCCCTCTCTCAGTCAGTCTGAGTTCTCGTTCTCTTTATTCTCTGGACATTCTGAAATTTTCATTTCTTTCACAGGGATAGGAAAGAAAGAGATAATGAGCTTTGGGAAATACTGCATATCTCTGTTAGGACGAGGCTCCTAATACTAGTTTTGTACCTGTTTTCCCAAACTGCTTTATGCAAAGACTTTCCCACATATAATAATGGCTATATAACAACTAAGATACATGCTTTTTATTCACTGCATTTGTACAAAAACTATTAAATCCTCAAGGACTACCTGTGGCTACATGTAGAACTACTCAGTAAGGAAATATAAAGGTGATCTTCATTAAGGGATACAAGATAATGTAAATGGGAACTGGCAGTGTGTAAATAAGGATAATACGGCCATGATTTCTACACTGAGACCAATTTTCAGTATGAGTTTTTCCTTAGATAATTCAGATAGTTATGGTTGATGGATTTAAAATAAATTTATATTTCAATGGGAATCTTTTTTCCTACATTTTCTTATAGAGACTTTTTCATTTTGACAAAATAAATATTTGTATTTATATATTTCAAATTGCAGCTAGAGGTTAGGAGTAGATAGCCTTATAAGAGTTCTTACAGAGATTTGCTGAGACAGATTTCCTACATGCTTTCTAAGGAGAAATCTTTGACTTTTGTTATTTTGCCAGTTAATGGAATAATAGTGTAGAAATCTAAAAATAGTATGCCAAGAATAGATCCTGAAAAGGGGGCAAGAAGAGAAGAAATGAAGAGATTCTCATATGAATTTAGATATCATGAGGTATCATACTCTCGATAAAAATTTTTATATTGTTTGAGACTCCCCAAGTAATTGTGATTTTTCTTCTTACAGATATCTCTACGTGTCTCATAACCTCCCTGGCTGTAACCCTGAGCACCGATGCTTGACCTACTGTAAGTCAAAAAGTCATATATGGGGAAGAAAATCAGCTTTGCATTTTAACCCCTTCCCTGAGCTTTAATTAAAAAAGATTTAAATCATAAACAGTTAGAAATGGAAAGACCTTTGTTTCTGTAAGCAAATGTCTGACCTTGTTCTAAATTGATAAACTGCATATGTCTAGCTTTATTAATTTAAAATCCAAACTAGTGATACTGGTTGGTACTTAATACATAATTGCTGTTGTTGATGATGAATATAGGCAAGAAAAGAGTGTGGAGATGCATTTTTTCCCTTTTGTGGCTTGCTAGTAAAAATTTCCTTTCCAAACCATTGTAGAGTGACTCTATTTGTAGGTCTTTTAAAAAAATGTATATTTTTATTGATTTTAGAGAGGAAGGGAGAGGGAGAGAGGGATAGAAACATCAGTGATGAGAGAGAATCATTGATCAGATGCCTCCTGCGTGCCCCCTGCTGGGTATGGAGCCCACAACTGGTGACCTCCTGGTTCATAGGTCAATATTCAACCACTGAGCCACACAGGCTGGGCTATTTGTAGGTCTTAGAACAGTGGGTCAATTATGCATCCCATTATAATTGGGTCTACACATAGTTTTTATCTTCACATGGAAACAAACTGAAGAGAAGTATGGGACACCATTCAGAATTGTTGGCAATTTTAATTGTTAAAAAAAAAAGAAGTCACAAAAGCAGGAGAACAAAGGCCTTATCCTGGCTGATTAGATGATTTAACTAGCAGTTGGTGTTGGCACAAAAAGTCAGCCAAACTGTTAAAAAATTCTCAGGGGCTGGAACTCTGTCCTCTGTGGGGAAAAAATCCAAAATGTATCCCTCATTATACCTTTTGGTACACAGATTTCCATTATTAATTTCTGATTTGAAGAAAAACATAAAGATATGGCACTGCAAGAAAAGTCAAGGTGGGACACACCAACATAAAAGGAAGTGGCTTTTCTGCAAGGGAGGCTTTCCTTTGAGTCTGGGAGGCAGAGTATCTAGTCTTGTATTATCGGAGTGTCTCCTGCTGCCTGCATCTAAGCAACCTTGGCTCACATATTGATGTTCCGAGGGAAAGATCCCAGGGAAAATGGATTGGAAAAGTACTTACTCTTATTGTGAGGAGCCTCTGCAGTGTGGAGTGACATGCACAAGATCCTTCTCCAAGAACTAAGCACTGTGTATCTATTTTTGGCATCACATTTATAAAGGGGGACCGTGCTTACTGGGATATAGGAAAAAAAAAAAACACTTTCAAGATTTACATTCAGCTCTACCATTTTATAATATTTTAGGCTGCAGTTTATAGATTATGCTAATTTGTTAGTGAGGTTTATTAGCTATGTGAGTCTCGGCTCTTAGTACAGGAAAGGCCAAATGGTCAGGGAAGCTCTAAGTGTTTTCTGACAAATCCCCCTGTGCTAATAGGAAGTATTCTCTGTTTTTTTTAAATGAACTTTTCGCTCTTTTTTGGATGATAAGAAGCTGGTGTTTTGTGCACATGTCCAGCTCATGTGACAGTCTTCATTCTTTCAGGAAAAGAAAGATCTCTTCCTTCTTCTGCAGTCTTCAGTGAAGACCCTAAGGCCAAGTTCTCCATTTTCCAGCTTGAATTTGTTGACTTTTGTTTTACATATACCCCGTAAGTTTTAGGCTAAAGTTAGTTAGGCCATTAATGTTTTTTTAACCTATGGAATCAGACCTGTTTCAAATTGTTGTCCAGTAAGACCATGAGTATTGTTTTCAAACACTTGAAATAAAATGAGCATCCAGTTTGGTCAGTATAATTTTCTCTGAAGAATATCAGGAACCTAACTATGTTAAGTAGGGGTTCACAACATCATGGTGAGCTTTTGGGATCTGGCAGATTTGAATCCTTCCCAACTGCTATGTGAAGCCAAACTCTGATGAGGTGCAATAGCCAGCAAACAAGTTGAAGCCTATATTCTGGAAAAGATAAATAGGCAGAGCATTTGATCACAGCAGAGCAGAGTGAGTTTCAGGAGGGATGCTAAAGGCCAGATGGCCCTGCAGAGGTCTGCCAAGATTTCTGAGGCCCCAGGTCACCCAAGCCAATAAATGGACTGTGCTCTGCCTATTATACAGATAGCATGAGGGCAAGGAGTTCTGGTTATTTAGCAAAAAGATAGGTTCCAGGTTAGAAAAATGTGGGGCTTCCTTTTTAGCTGCTTCCTAACAGTGGCTGGACTTTGTGATCTTTGCATTTGCTGTGTTTTGCTCGTTTGCTCAGTTGCTCGTTGATTGCACAGGTTCTGTTTGGGTGGTGTTTGATTCTCACTGACTGCCCTTGTTCCCTTACATAATTACTTATCGAGTGGCTGATGCATCCTGGGCTCTATGTTAGAGCTGGATATATAACTGTGAACAAGATGGACATGGCTTCTGCCTTCATGGAGCTTGTGGTCTACTGGGGAAGATAGACAATGGAACGAGTAGTTATAATAATGCATAATGAGGGATATGAAAGAGAAAGTACAGAGTCCTACATGTGCACATAACAGGGGAAGCAAAGATAATCTAGAGGTCAGAGATGGTCTACCTGGAAGGGACATGTAGGTTGAGACTTGAAGGATATGCAGGAATTTGCTAGTAAAAGTAAGGAAATACACCAGACATAAAGGACAGTGTGTATGAAGTTGTGAAATTGAGAGATTTTGGCATAGTTGAGTAACTGGAGCATAAAGTAGAAGGAGGAATAAAATGGAGGGCCCAGAGGGTTTCTGTTTCTTCTTCTCCCTTCCTATACCCTAAGGTATGAGGCAGGCATGAGGGAGGTGGGGAGAAGGTTTTGGTGGGTACAGAGATTTAAATTCTGGATGGAGGAAATATTTCATTGGAAGTGGGGAATTGGTCTCCAGAAATACATCATGGAAACAGGAATTGACTGACCCACAAAGGCAGATAATTGAGGTTAAATTAGGATTAAATTATCCATATAGTGTGGGTGCTAATGTGGCTGGAAGGTAAAGTGAAGAAGGAACAAGAGAATATATGAATAATTTGGGTGATATGTATAGAGAAAGGAGAGAAGACTTAAAAAGAACCTTGAAGGACATTGACATTTAGTTGGCAGAGGAAGAGTTGCAAAGAAGATTGAGAAGGAGAGACCAAAAAGAGGCCAGAAAAACTAGTGCTGTGGTTTGTCACAAAAGTGTCAGGAAGAGAGTCTTTTCAGGGTTGGACTCACCTCAGGACACAAAATTGAAGGGGGTGCCCAAAACCCCAGTAATTAAGATAAATAATATTTTAATGCAATGTTAAAAAACACCTGAGTTTATGCAAAAGATCCATATGATCAAAACATCAAACTTTTAAATAGAGACAAGATCAGAATTATTGATTTTTTTTTGCCTCAGGCTCCAATAAGGAGGCTCTGTACACTACTATGCTATTAGATTTAGAAATATTTTATATTTAGAAGTTTGTTATTTTGTTCATATAGAAAGAAGGAGTGATAAACTGTGTTAAATATGGCTAAGAAGTCAGTCAAGGGATAGGTTGAAATGAGTCCATTGAATATAGGGGCAAGCTATTGTTACTGGATATTTTTCTCTACCTTGTTTTAATAAAACCTAATAGAGATTATATTATTGTCTCTGCAAACATAATCATCACCTCCTAAAAAGCTGAGTCCTTTTCTGAAGTAGGAGATTATATAAACACGAAAACATGTTTTTCTCCCTTAAAACACTTTTTATTATGGGAAAATATATGTAGCAGAAACATTACCATCTTGACTGTCGTGGTGTACAGTTCAGTGATGTTAAGTACTTCATATTGCTGTGCAACCACGACCATCATCCATATTCAGAACTCTTTTCATCTTGCAAAACTGAAACTATGTTCAATGAAAAACTTTTTATATTTAAAGTTTATTTTGTCTTATATAGAATAGCCACTCCTGCTCTCTTTTGGCTACTATATGCATAGAATATTTTTCCATCTTTTCACTTCCAATTTATTAGTGCCTTTGGATCTAAAGCAAGTCTCTTATAGACAGTATATACTTGGATCATGTTTTGTTTTGTTTTTCCATTCTGTCAATTTCTGTCTTTTGATTGGAGAATTTAATCCATTTACATTTAAAATAATTATGGATAAGGAAGGACTTCCATCATTTTGTTTTTGTTTTCTATATGCCTTATAGTTTATTTTGTCTCTCATTTTCTGTGCTAAGAGCTGAAATTAACCACAATTTACTGTCCAAGCCTTCCCTTGGAAGTTGCAAGCCTTCAATAGATTCTAGAGTTCCAAAATAGTTACGTCGGACAGAATCTGCCAGTACAATTGTGATCTTGGGCAGGAAGACAATTCCCTATTCCACCATTTTTCCAGGATCCTCTCTCCCCAAACATATATTTTAAAATTCATGGTATCTTTCATAATAACTTTAAGGTGAAATAAAATAGTTCCTTATTTTTACGAATTACTCTTTAAACATTCTCTGGATGGAACCATGTTCTTGCATAAATCCATAGATCACGCATATCTGAGGGTCAGAAATATAGGCTGGGGAGCCAGGTAAATAGGTATAATTGCTAAGCAGGTTCATGTTTACCTCTGAGAGAAATCAACTGCTATTTTATTTGTACATTTAGTAACTATTTGGGAGGCACTAGATTCACTGGAAATAAATTGCTTCCTGATGGGCTCTTCAGTTGGAAGTGCTTTGTGTAAATCAGTTGCTATTTACCATACAATCCCCAGACCCCTTTCTTATAAAGATGTTTATCTATATTCCTTCTCAAGTGCTCTGTTGCTTTTTATTCAGATCGTACCTTAGGTGCTTTCATGCTATTTTTTTTTTGTTCTGGTTTGGATACTTTAGGTGATTGGAAATCACTTGTCATATCCCAGCCATCTGTCCAAAATCTAAAGAGCTCCAGCTTCACCTGTCAGTGTGTCAAAAACTTAATCATACTTATAAGGTAAAAAATTTGCATTTGTACCTCACGAACTCATCCTCTTGCTTTAG